AATATTCAATCCAAGATGTCATCAATAACACATGGATGTATATTACTTATCATAGAAAATATTTAACCAAATGCGTTATTACTAATAACATCGTATACGTAATAAAAGAAATATGAATTTAATTTAAAAAATATCTGCTATTTTATTTAATTTTATAGCTATTAAACTGGATGACAACTTTTAGCCGAGAATAGAATTACTGAAAATAGACATGAAGGCAGTTCACTCAATTTAAACCTATGACGATGCATCGAGGTTGTTAAACGCGAGCATCGTTCGGACAATAGAAACGAGGATCGTCATCGTATCTAATTAAAAATCAATTCATTAATTGTTTGCCACGTCCGGTTAAATGGAACAGTATGAAAACAACTTATTGTTTTGTCAAGAATACAAATTACGGTTGAATTTGTATTTCTTTATAAGAAGCTTAAAAATGTATTTATTCATATAATGTACAGTAAATACTCAGTACTTCAAATTTGAAAAAGAAATACATATGCGAGACGAATTTCTATAGGCGTTAGCATAATTGTGTTATTTTGCATACAAATGCATGAACTATTCACAGTTTCATAACAATTGTAACACGTTGATATATGTACGATTTAGAGTAAGTGGAAGTTGAAGAATGAAAAGCTGTAATCGAGGTGTAATACTGGTCACGCGAACGAGCAACAATTTGAACTGGTGAGCGGTTATCATTGCTCCGGCACGGGTCACTCACCTGACGACTATCATACCGAGTCATTAAGCTGTACTACTGGCGGCCGCGTACCGGAAATGCCGTCGCGCACAGACGTTCATTTCTTTTGTGCACCGTTCGTGACTTCACCGCGACACAATCTCTCTCTCTCTCTCTCTCTCTCTCTTGCTTACTCTGTCGTTTCTACCGTTCGCTTACGACAACATTGAAATGAGAATAAACTCTAAATCGTTTGGTAAAACAGACGAGATGGAACAAAAATTGTCGATACTTAGACTTAATCAATTTATCACTACCATTTCTTATGATAAGACTTCTTATCAGTATATAATTAGTGCCTTTCATGCTTGAAGAATTTATTATGTGACCTAGAACCCATTGGTTTTCAAAATAGGAATTAATAGACACTATTGTGACTTCTATCCTTTCGTACATGTATTCAATACAAAATGATGTGTATGGAATGTATGAGTGTAAATAGAAGAAATTGACATACCTTGATCAATTCGTGACGCACTGCTTGAGGATTTCTGTCGATGGCCACGCTAATGCAAAGGGCAAACAGCGCATCCTCGTATCTGCCGAGCGCTGACAAAGCCAATCCTCGCCTGTAATGACCCTGTCGACAAACAAATGTCACAAATAATTATAATTGTGTAATCAGTTTCGTCAAATGTTAATCGAAGAAGCAATAGTTTTATCCCAATTCATCAATTACATTGTCAGCTAATGATCAACCTTACATATAGTATATCACTTCCAACTCTTCTACGTAAAAAATTAAACTGCATTTCTTATATATAAAATTCAATTTTATTTCGTATAAAGTTTTCATATTTAATATAGATG